TTTGTTCAGACAATTAGTTTGGTGTCAAATCAGTAGCCGATCCATGTCTTCAGGCAAACCATGGGTGGTGTTTGTATTGGGCGGACCCGGAGCTGGAAAGGGTACCCAATGTCACCTAATCTGTAAGGTATCGTCACCTCATCTGATCCGACACTTTCTGAGCATATTTTCTATTGAAATATTCTCCATTAGTGGCCACCGATTGCTGATAACCAGTGATCATATGGTGATCGCTGGTAGCACTCGAACCACGTGTTTAATTGCTTATAAATCAATGACTGTTTAATCAATGGTTTTATTGAATATTAAAAGAAGTTATTAATTGAATAGGAGTTCGGTTTCACTCACTTGAGTGCCGGCGACCTCTTGAGAGCCGAACGAAACACCGAAGGATCACAATTTGGGGAACTCATCGAAACCCATATCCGGAACGGGACTATAGTTCCCGTTGAGATCACTTGCAAACTCTTGGAGAGCGCGATGCAGAAGAGCTCATCCGCTCAACACAACGGCGGCGCCGGCGACGAGCCGTCCGACGGAAGGGTTGGCAAGTTCTTGATCGACGGCTTTCCCCGAAACCAAAACAATTTGGACGGATGGCAGACAGAGATGACACACAAAGTAGATCTCAAGTTTGTCCTCTTCTTCGACTGTCCGCGCGATGTATGCGTTCAGCGATGTCTGAAACGAGGAGAGGCTGGCAGTGGTCGCAGCGATGACAACGCCGAGAGTCTCAACAAACGGATCAATACATATTTGACGGACACTTTGCCGATCATCGAGTATTACGGCCACTCATCTCTGGTCCGCAAAGTGAACGCAAACCTTCCTCCGGACCAAGTCTTTGAAAACGTGCGGCAAATATTTGACGCATTGAAGTGACGCCAAAAACTAGTGATAAATTGATATTATATTTAACTCTAACNTAATACAAAAATGAAATAAATAGTCATATAATTAAATTTTAAATATAATTTATTGAAATAATGTTTTAACCATTTGTACAACAAATAGTAAATCGAGGGCTTATTAATAAATTGGTCTCGAATAGAGTACCATGGTCATTTTATTATGTAATCATGTAATATCTTATATTCTTAACTTATATAACTCATTAAACTAGTGTTGTATTTGATATATAAATAAACAATAAAAAGATTTTTTATAATTGATTGCAATAATGACTATTAAATAGAGTAATAAAATTATATAAAAGTCATTGTAATTACAATAATTGTAATGATTTGCAAATTATATATCAATTATCATAAGTTGTAAAGAATTAATTTAAGCATTAGTTAGACGTAATGAGTGGGGCTTCACATCAATACACAAATGCTATACACGTGTTGTGCTATTGAGTCGATGCGTTGGCTTTGCTGTAAAGCATGTATACATTAATGTGAAGCGTCTCTCACTCTCTCTAACCAAACATTATTGTCATTTAAAATCTTAAGACAATTGTCTTGTCTTAAGACATGTCGATAAACAATCCGACTTTAGACGAGTTGCTGTCGTCGCCGATCGGCTCGACTAACCGGTCGGCCATCACATCGCGAATCAGTTATATACAAGAGATCCAACACATGATGTATGTCTTCGGCGATTACGAGCGACCGCTCTATGAATCGGCACAACTCGTTGAACATGTGGTCCATCAGCAGATGTCCGCACTCTTATGGCACGCCTTAGCCGTCGCTCAGACCAGAGGTTCGCGCGATATCGGTCTCGAAGAGATCCTATTCCTCATGAGATTCAATCGGTCGAAGTTAAGACGTTTAGTGAAACACTTGAGAGTTAACGACGAGAAGTCGTGCTTCAAAATCGGCGGAACCATTCATGACATCGACGTCGACACCAATGCGTCGGCCGTCGGAGACATCGATGCGAACGACGATTTGACACCAAAACCGCCGCAACAGACAAAACGCGTGAAACTGTGTTACGACTTCTTGAGCTCAATCGACAGTTTGGGTAATTTTCTGGTGGTCTTCGACGACACGTTTGTCGATGCGGTGACACATCAGCGCAATGTGAGGAGCGATACGCTGTCGAGGAATATGTCTGAAGCGGATTACATGAAGTACAGCGAATGCCGGAAAGTGAGTTTCGCCAATAAGTCGCGGCCCTCGAAGTTCAAGGACTGGCTCTTAAAGGACATACAGCTGGACCTCAAGCCCAACGCATTGGCGTTAGAAGTGTTGCAATATTTGGCTAAAGAGACGGTCTCTCAAGTGGTCGACTTAGCGCTTCTGGTCAAACAGGACTTAGAGCGTGACGTTTGCGATCCGTTGGCATCGCTTCTGCCGCAGAAGATGGTTAACAACGACTTTCCTATCACTCACTCCAGTGAGACGCCAATCGGCGGCGATAGCGACGACCTGTTGTCCAACCATTGCTCACAAAATACTCCCTTTTTTATGTCCTCACAATCGAAATGTGGTACGAATTCAATGACTAACGGAACCGATGGCCAGAAGTGGAAGAAGCGTAAGAGATGTGATCCGTCGAAACTGGAATTCGAAGCGCATTCGTATTGCATTACTCCCGATCACATCCGGGAAGCGCTTCGACGATATTTCATACCTTCGGGTCCTTTCGCTAAATCTAACCATTCATTCAATCAGTCTATGAATCATAACACGAAACTACTCTGCCTTTGAAATAGCCATCAAATGATCATTTCATTAATTTATTGCTAAAACACAGTCAATAGTGAATTCAAATTTTATATTCAATATATATATTCTTACTTTAATTAAAGTTTATTTCTAATTAAACAAATATAAGAACTATTATTGTTATAAGACTGAGAGAGAAAATTGGGTACAAATCTAAATAATTTATTTAAATAATAATTATTGATTACAAATCCAATTTATGTTTTAAAACAATAGTTTCTGATTTATAGATAAATAATCGATAAAACATTAATAATAAACGAATGGTTTAATGAAAAAGAGAATTATTGTAATTATAATAAGTGAGAAAAATAATAGAAAGTAATTCTACGCAAAAAGTAGCGATTAATTGAATCAACACAAGAGTTTAGTTAATGTCTTGGCGTTCATCTTGAGTTCGAGGAGCGCGTAGTCTTCGGGAACGGGTGTATTGTAGGCAAACTGTCCGCCACTTAACTCCGAGTATATGATGTTTACCTTACGGGCCATTTCGCTCTGACACAGGATCTGTGTCTTGCAGTTAGTCTTCATCTGATGGACATTAAAGGCTTTGATGTCTTCGAGGTTAGAATTCTGGAGACATTTCAAGTAAGTCTCGTAAATGTGAGCGCCGTTTGAATACCAGTTGGATATGAGATGAGAATTGGGTTTCAGTTTAGCAATCAATTGACTGATGGTCTCGTCTTCGCCGTTGATTATCATTTGCGGTAAAACTCTATCAATCAATACTTCGTGCGCTTCTGTCCACTGATGACAATCAATCAGATTTGTGGCCAAATTCGGGAAATCAAAGCTAGACTTGGATTCAATTGCCTTCGATTCGGACAAATATATGCCAGGAATAGAGATGATATTCAATAGCCATTCCTCCAGTTCTTTGTTCTTTAATTGTTGCGAATTTCTTGTGATTATCTCTTTGAGAACAATTTGTCTCATCATATCATTGCCGATATGTGTGGCCACAAAACACGCCCAACGGATGTCTTTGATTTGCGATGCGATTAAAGTGTGGACCGAATCACTCAAACAACTCAAATCGTTTTCATCACTCAATACGTGATGGCATTTGAGTGACTCGTGAAGAAACCACGAATCGAGTGCACTGCCGGCCCAACACATGGCCACCCATGGCGTATGTCCGGCCAGTAAATGATATTCTACTTCATCCGGAGCTGTAGTCAGATTGGAAATGGATGTCAACAATAAGTTAAGACCCAATTCATTGCTTTCCACTTCTGGTAGAGTTTTATAGATTAATATTAAAGCCAATTGTTGTGTCCAATGGAGTCCCTCGAGAACAGTGACCACTTTTCCAGTACTCAGTTTCCACTCTATTAGACCCGATAACAGGACATAGATTTTCATCAAATCATAATCGATATACGCGTCCGCTTTGGAGCGCTTCCAAGAGTCCAATTGAGCGATAAGTGATTCTTTGCTCGAATTGATTCCCGACGCCAACAATGAGGCCAATCGGGGGTTAGTGGCGGACAGCGCCTCCTCGACCGCCGCATCCAATTCGTTGGTTGACATGAAGTGAACAATTCTGGCGAGACTTGTCTTTGGGATCGAAAGCTTCGTATTGACAGAGAAGAGCCAACTCTTGATTCTGTCGATTCTTTGCTGATGACATGCATAAGGAGTCACTTCACTCAACGGCTGGTAAAGCGCTTCAATCAGCTGTTCCTGTCTTAACGAATTGTAAGTGTTTTTAGCGAACTCTTTGGTCTCAATCAATGGCGCTATCATTGGGTTTCGATTGTGCGATACGTTTGAGTTGTTTTTCAAGTGCTCCTCAAACCGATTGAGAGCCGTATCGTCGAAATCAATTAAATTCAATTCGCAGATCAAAACAGTGGTTCCCTTAATGAAAGTGAATTGTCGGGAACCGTTGAAAAACGCCAGTTTCGGCGAAGAAGAGACACAAACAGAACTGATATCACAAGTGATCTTATTCTGAGCGCCGAATACGTCGGCTTCAAATGTCAGCTCTCGCTTCACGGCAGCCATCGGTCGGGCAATCGATGGCATTATTGGCGCAAAGAATTTGCCCTTCGCTTCCTTTGGCGGCGATATAATCGATATTTTGCTCTTTTTGGGCAAAAGTGATTCGTATTCGTCGAATAAAGTCGAACGCATTTTATCGAAATCAGTCACTTTGGAGGACAGATGTGCCGAATAGTCATAAGAGTTTTCGCTATCATTCATATCCAATATGTCGTCGTCTTCTTCGTCGCCAAACAAATAACTCATTGCATTGTCTCTCGATTTTGAGGCTTTGGCCGACAGTTCTTCTGAAATATCATTAATATTTGAATCGTTGAAATCAATGTCCTTCGAGAAGAGGCGTCTCTTCTCATCGATGGGCTCTCTATGAGCGACAGTCTGTTTGGGCAAAGTTTGCTTCAATGTCTCAATCGGCTGAACGTCTTCGTCGTCGTCATCCTCTGTGAGGCCGTATTTACTGAAGTGCTTGACAGTGAAGACCCAACTGCCGGTATCGGGTCTGTACTCTTTGAAAGTGGCGCCCAATTTAATGGTCGCCGTCTCGATCTTCTCCGAGTACTTCATGGCTCGCAAACGGCTCATGTCTTTAATGAGTTCGTGAGTGGTCTTGTCTATGGGCCAGACCTGATCCAAAGTGATTTGCGCGCAACGGTTGAGTCCGTCGCCCACTTTGGGCGCCACGTCTTCGTCCGGATATACAATCACTTCTTTACGCCTGATGTGAACGATTTCATCCAAATTAAGACCCTTCACGTCGAGCGGTCCGTTCCAATAGATGGACCCGTAGTCCTGTCGCACAACTGTCAGGTCCGGGACAATACAGGTGTCGGTCGACGGCTCGTAATACGTGTCCATTTCGTCCAACGAAGGAATCGTGTAATAATCGGTTCGCGTCATAATTACACCGCATCTGGGAATAAATGGTGGCATTGTTTCGCAATCAGTTACCTCTCGTGGGCTATGAATACTGGAACTAATGGACTCATTAAAGCTCTGATTGTCGCCCTTTTCTGATGGAGAGATCACTAGTCTTTGTTTGGGTTCATAGGAAGTGTTTTGACTGGTTTGCTGTTTGTCGCGAACGCGAATGAATTCATTGATAGTGACATCAGTGGCCACAGAATCATCAAATTTGATGTCATTCTTGTGTTGGGTTTGAATCATAAAATGTGACGAATTAGTGGACGTGTTTTGGGATGCGTTCAAATCG